CGAATGTTTCATTCGATTTCGAATCTCTCAAAGATTCGACTCTCGATGTCAACTATCCAGAAATTCGCATATTTTAAATCATAAATTACTCAAAAATTCGGTTATCCGTCAAATGTCGAACTAAACCGATGATTCGAATGACTGAAGACAGATTAGATTTATGTGGTACGAAGAATTAGACTAAAATCCATGATGCTGTAGATGCCGCAATGGGACCGACGGTACGAAAGTCCGTCGATCCCATAGCGATTATGAGTCCTCTAACTTGAATGAAATTTTTCAAGCCGATCATTTGAATGGACTTGCCACAATCTTGTTGAAAGCATTGATACTAAATGGGTGAAGATTCCGGCACAAATATCATGATCCGAGTTTGCATCAGCTGCTATGGGCTGAAGTGACTTTTATAGAGTTACACATTTCAAATGGTCACTAACCTAGAAGATTCGACAGACATAAGAGTCGTCTGAGTACAATACCTAAGCTTACTCTAAGGACCTTTAAATTATGACGAGCGTAACATTTTCAAACTTTTAGACCATAAAATCACATTCTTTACGCGGTGATATTGGGTGCTACGATCACCACTGAAAGCGAAAGTTTGTGTGAGAAAAGAATTCTAGCTTTCTCCTAACATCACCTCTAAATAATGAATGATCGATCATTTTCTACTCCTGACTTATAACTTACTGAGTTAAACAAACAAATGAAGATTGGAAATGTTTTTAGACATATTACGGATCAAATGTAAATTAAAACTGTCTTTGTCCGTAGAGAGTACTCTAGTACTTCGATTATTCGAATATTCGAAGTTTTTGTATTACCCATTCTAAACTCACAAAATTCGAGATGTTGAAGCTATAATCTTCTCTAATGAGAAAAAAGTTACATACAAAAGCCATGAAAGAAAAAAAGAAAATGGAGAAAATACCATGAAACTTACGTTACTCCAGCACTATTCGTTCGTGTTGGCATCTGCATTTTCGACGCCGTGGCAGGTTTTCCACCAGGCCCCGGTATTTCTGCAGGCAATGGTTCTCCTCCGCGAGCATCTAATGGATTGTACTCGTGCCCATCGTAATTCGCGTCAAAGAATTTTTTGAACCATTGCAAAAATTCGAAATTGTCCTGAAGGTCAGATTTTGAAATACTGAGTTTAAACAATAAACATAACATATGTATAGAGCCAAAGTGATAATAAAAGAACCTGGAATTTTCCCTTGATAAGCTTATCCACAGGCACAATCTTCTCAACACCTAAGGTCTTCCATGAAGTTTGCACGATTTTCCAGTTCCCAAGCCAGTCAAGCTCGAGATTGGAATTCCACTTTACCTTTCGCAATGGAATCGATCCAGGAAAAAGAAAATCGGTGAACTGGAAAGTTAATAGGTACTTCAAAGATATCTAAATTCATTCACATCAGCGATAATTAATTTAAAAAAACATAAATAATAGAAAGCAATTAAGCTGGATAACTGAAGTTCTTATATAAATTAAGATGAAAAATCATAATGGGAAAAATTGACATCAATTCTCACCTGCGCATATCCGGCTCCAGTGTGTAACTGTTCGATTTTCGTAAAATTACTTTGTAAGCAGTCGTTTACCCACATAAGCATCTCATGTCTAGATAGATTTTCCGTCGTCGCGGACGTTGCATATACGTTCACAACAGCCGCCATCCTATTTTTTTGTTTACAATAGAACTATCTGTAACAATATCGATTCTTGTTAGTATAAAAATCTGGATGTGAAAGAACGGAGAATTGTTAAATATATAATAGCCAGTGATTATGCGTAAATGCTCAGCCGCACAAGACGGAATACACAATAGACATCATGAAA